CACAGTATCTAACATTAGCTTGTTTAAGCTAATATAGAAGCTAATGTTTGTTTAGGCTATCGTGTGCGTTTCTCCAAGAAGGAAAGACGTTGGCTCTGACTGAACCGGGCCTGATGCAACAGCCTGTGTTGTTTATGTTGGAGCATGGGTCGGTACCGGGGCAGTAGCAGCGCAGCACTCCGGGCTGGATCAGCGATGCAGGGACGGTGCTCTGGTCAAACACACACGAGTACCGACCCGCCGGCTCGCTCCACGGCCCAGTGATCAGAACCTTCACGCCCCCCTGCAGGGCAAAGACACTTTCAGTGCATCACGTGTCCAACAGCAACAGTTTCATCAGCTGCAGTCCACAAACACCAGCTCGCCTCACTGACATTTCAGCCTTCTGTTTAGCTTGTGCCACCTTCTACTTTCATTTTAATCTAGATTTTAATGTACTTGCAGTTTTAGACAAATCATGAGGTGTTTTTAAACTGTTTTGTGTCACTTTGGAGACATTTGAGTCATTTTGACAAGTTTAGAACAACTTCACCTTCACATTTTTATCATTTTTTATTTTTTTGTCATTTTGGACACCTTTCCAGTCATCTTGAATCATTTTACAGGTTTTGGGCACTTTGAACATCAAGTTTGATCAGGAGCTGCAGAGCTGTGAACACCTTAAATCAAAAACACTGATTCATTCATTCACTGGTCATGAACATTATCGTTTGTTTTCTATTTGAAAAGAGGAGAAGATTCTGTCACAGCTCTCGTCTTGAAATTGTTTTCTTGTAGTTTCAGTTTTGTTAAAACTAAGTCATGAAATCTGTCTGAGTACTGAATATCAGATCATTAGGTGATTGATTGAGTGTTTTGAGATTTCTGGGCTGCTGATAAATCAGCTGATTGATCGATCTGTGTTACTGATCAATAGTTTGACTGTGGAACACTTCAGGGAATCTTATCAAAGTTAGAAAGATTCAGATTTTGAAGAATATTTATGGAGTTTTGGTTTGACATCTCAAGTCAGATGACTGTGCAACAGATCACTAACTAACTGATCACCTCCAAGGTGAGGACAGCAGTTTGTGATCGTTTGTTTTTTAAATTTTACTGATTTATAAAGACAAAGTGACATCGCTGACATGTAACTGAGCATCATTTGTGGCTGATTCCTCCGTAAAAGGAACTTAAACCTGGAGTTAAAGTGAAGCCGTGCAGGTCTGGATCGACACATGGACTCTGCTGCCCCCCTGTGGACGAGCAGAGACACTCAAAGCTTCAACTCTGTCTGTGCACATTTTGGTTATCAACACGTTTTCAGCCACCATTAGCTAATTAATTCAATTATAATAGTTAATATTTAACTAATTCTAAACATCTTCACCCGTTTGGGTGAGCTTTAGGCCATTTCAGACAAACTTCACAGCATACATCTTGAGGTGCTGGTTGTTACCTCGGGGTACGACCACTCCGGTGAGAAGTCTGTGATGGAGGTCAGGCGGGTGGAGGAGGAGGAGGGCAGCGGGTGAGGGAAGGGGAGGAAGGAGGAGGAGGGGGAGGGCTGGGGCGGCACCATGTAGCGGACCCCCGCCGGGAACAGTGCCGGGCTGGACACGGCAGCGGGGTGAGCTGCGACGGGATTGGCTTCCTCGGTGATGAGGTCGGAGATGAGGTCGGGAAACTGGCTGTCGAAGGAGATGTCGAGCTCCTCCCCCCCACGCTCGCAGGGCTCCGCCTCCTCCGACAGGTGTGTGTCCATGCAGGTGTCCTCGGTGTCAAAGCTCCGCCCACTCTCCTCCTTCACCTGGATCGGGGGAGTCAGAGGGCGAGCGGCGGGGACGGGGCTCAGAGTGGCCGGCTGCTGCAGTCCCAGGGGCTGATGGGATATCTCAGCTAGGGGCGGGGCTTCAGTAGCCTGGCGCTGCATCTGATTTGCTGGCTGGCTCGCCAAGTCCTGGCAGACGAGCAGCAGGGAGGCAGAGCTGGTTGCCTGTTGCCGTGGAGACGAACTGCAGGAGGCGGGGCTTGTCTGATTGACAGAAACAGAAAGAGGGTTGAGGCGGAGGGATACAAGATTCAGCCACAGAAAATAGTCCCACGAACACCTGGAGGAGACTCACCTGCAGCAGAGCCAGCTTGGTGGGCGGAGCCCTGCCTTCATCATCATCATCGTCGTCATCATCATTACCTCTCCTCTCCGTCACCTCCCCCTCACCCCCCGCCTCCCTCCGGCCTCCCTCTGACTCCCCCAGAGCTCCCAGCTCCAGGCAGAGGGGGAGGAGGGGCNGTATTGATCGTTGACGGGACGAGTGTGAGGAGGACCTGTGACTCACCGTCCAATGAGAGCCAGTCGAGCTGAGAGCTGGGCAGGGAGCTGGCGTTCCTGGCTCGGTACTCGAACAGAACCGACGAAGAGACAGAACCTCCGGACTCCAGGACCTGCAGACACACCAGGCCGGCCTCGTGGGCTGAGGGGCGGAGACAGAGTCCGTCAGGTGAGAAAGGTGAGCGACCATCCTGCTTGTTTCAGTGATTGTGGTGGATGGTGCCACTTTGGGCGAATGCAGTGACAAATGTTCCTGTTGTATGGCTAACATTAGCTAGCTAGGGCTAACAGAGGAGATGCCGTAACTTTATGGGCTAACGTACTGGCTAACGTTGTCTTGTTTAGGCCATGGTAGTGGCCAACAGTACTTTTATAGGCTAATGAAGCGAGGTTATTCTGCAATAGTGGCTGCAGCTACTTCTTTAGGCTAACATACTGGCTAACAACACATTTTTAAGCTAATGCAATGGCTAAAGTTTCTCTATTAAGGCTAACNACAAGGAACCGCCACAAACCAACGCTGTGACTCCACAAGGAACCGCCACAAACCAACGCTGTGACTCTACCAGGAACCACCACTCTGACTCCACACACCCATGGACTGATCCCCACAGCCTGCCGTCTGTAACCGTTAACACTGACTGAGGCTCGTGGAGGAGACTCCTCTCCTGTGTTCACCTCCTTGACCTCAGCACACACCGCGGGTGGTTGCCACGGTGACTGAGCAGCTGCGTAACCGTGACAACCACCATAAAAACACACACACAGGCAGAGCTCGTCCTACCGGCTCCATCCTGCTGCCCAGTGGCTTCCATCTTCTGTCTGTCTGAGCTCAGGTGAGGGGCATGCTGGGTACGCTGTGATGTCACGGCATAAGCTGACACATGTGCAGCCACACACACACACACACACACGTACACACACACACGCACACGCACACGTACACACACGCTGTCAGGAAGCAGGCCGAGCAGGACCAGCTGGAGTTAAAGAGTCAGAGCAGCAGCCTGAGCTCTGCTGCCTGCTGCAGTCTGGACGTCCAAACGCTGCAGCAAGGCATGCTGGGAAGCCCAGAGGGAGGAGGGAGGAGGCGGGGGCTGATAGAGTGTCTGCACCGACTGTGTGACATTCCTGACGGAGCCTGAAACCACCGACAGACACGGCGGCTCATCTGCGCCGTGCGGAGTCGGATCAGTGGCTGAACAACAGAACTGCTCCTCTGAGCCCAGCAGCAGTCTGGGTTCAGCTGCTGACTCGTGTTTTCTCACCAGCGCCTCAGTTCTACTGCAAAACATGTTCATCAAGCTGAAGGCTTTTCCTCTGAGCGCCTACATCTGGCTGCTACACCTTCTGTCCCCTAATGTCCAGGGTTCATGCTATGTCCATTCATATCCAGGTTTTGACTCTTGTTTGCATCTCTGTTAGTTACTGATGACCCAGTGTGACACAGAGGACAGAAGGTCTTGGTGTCCAGTTACAGCAAACACACTGAGGAGAACCTCTAATGAGAATAAAGTGGTGCTGGTGGAATGTGGCCACGTCAAACTTGGATGATTTGGGTTTCCAGACAGATGAGGTGTTCAGAAGCTAGAATCTGCTGGTTCTGTTCTCACAGTTTCTGGCTGACCTAGAAGTTGTTCTGCTGTTGTTTTTTTGCCTTTCCACCGGTTCAGAGTGTTCAACTGCTAACAGGAAGTCAGGCCGCGTGAC